AGATTGCACTTTCTCTATGCTGTCCTTGACCAGCAAATGCTAAATTATCCCTCTTTGGTATGACTACTAGAAGTGAAATTGGGCCCAGGCAGGAGGGCGAAAGGTATCATGGGATTTTGCCCACACATATGGTATAATATCTTATACCATCAGCTTGGAATTGTATTTTATACCATCTGCCTCCTCTACATATGGCTACTATCAGTAATACTTGTTCTTACTGTACTTTTTTTTAAATCTTTTTGTTGCTATTCTGATTCAGATGTAGGGTCAGTTTTTACTCAGGGAGAATGATGCTCCAAATGAATCACTAAAACCTCTCGGTACGTTTTGAGTTTTACTTGGAGATCTTTCATTTGAGTACTGACTCAACTGCAAGGAAAAATTAATACAACCTGCATATGACTAATATACCCAACTAAATAAATGGTGTTTAACTTGAGTTTACCAGCAAGAAAGAAATGAACCCTAAGGTGTTCTCTCCCCAATACCTACATTACTCCCTGCTAGTTAATTACTTAGTGGGCAGCTAGGTGGTGTAATGGAGAGAGTGCTGGCCTTGGAGTCAGGAGGACCTGAGTTCAAATCTGGCCTCAGCCATTTACTAGCTGTGTGACCCTGGGCAAATCATTTAACCCTGTTTGCATCAGTTTCCTCATCTGTAAAATGAGTTAAAGAAGAAAATGGCAAACCCCTCTAGTATCTTTACCAAGAAAACCCCAGATGGGGTTAGAGATGACTGAAAATGACTGACCAACAACCAAGGTAATTACTTGACCCTGCTAGTTTCTCAAGATATCATCCAGTCTTTCCTCCATTTCACAACTCAACTTCTAAATAAAATAGTCTAGTCTCACAGCCTCCAGTTCCTCACTCACTCTTTAACCAGTAGGATCATAGGTTCATAGAGTTAAAGCTGAAGGGACCTTAGAAGCTATGTCACCCAACCTCCTCATTTCACAGATGCGGACACTGAGCTGCGGAGGAATGAAGTGGCTCACCCAGAATTCCCCCCGGCTAGTGAGTATGGGAGGGAGGGTGGGAATCCAATTGTTCCTGACTCTGGGTCCGTTTCTGTATCCACTGGTCTAAATCATGCTGTGTCTCTAAAATCCCTTCCTTGCTAGCAGATTTCCTTGCCTCTCTACTGAAATTACTCTTTCCAGGGTGACCAGTGACTCCCTTTACCTTATTTGATTTTTGTATAACATCTTACATTGTTGATCACACGCCTTCCCTCACCCTTCTGCTTGATCTCATCTCTACCCTTCGCTTCCATGACACCGGCAATCTCCTGGTTCTCTTACTATATCTATGGCTGTTCTTTCTTTCTCCCTCCTTTTCTGGCTCTTCTTCTCCTTTGCACTCCTTAAATGTGGACATCTCCCAAGATTCTGGCCTTGGCTCTCTTCACTCCCTTGGTGATTCCCATGCCTTTAATTGTCATCCCTATAGAAAGAATTCCAAAGTCTGTACCTCTGATGCCAAAACTCTTCCCAGATCTCCAAGTCTCCAGACTTAATTATATCCTCAGTGTTTATCACAGTGCCTGGATCATAGTAGGTGCTTAATAAATACTTATTGACTGACTCCTAGGACCTGTTAGAGCTTGCACTCCTCTCATGCAGCAGTGGAAAATCCAGCATTCTCTCTTTGTCATGATGAATTAGAATTGGACTTTAGCAGGGGTTCCATGTCTTTAAGACACCAACATAATACAAATTGAAAATGATATGACCAGGGTCTTAGAGGGTTAAGTACTCAGTGATAAAGCACTAGTACATGGTACTCTAGGCCTGACACAGGTAAGGGATTCCTTAATTTATTATGATAGTAGATGGTAGCTTAGACCAGTGGTATTAAATTCAGAAAAGGAACTAGGTGGTGTAGTAGATAGAGTGCCAGAGTCAGACTCATCTTCCTGAATTGAAATCTGACCTCAGACAGTTACTAGCTGTGACAAGTCACTGAAATCTGCTTGCCTCAGTTTTCTCATCGGTAAAATAAGCTGGAGAAGGAAATGCCAAGAAAACCTCAAATGGGGTCATAAAGAGTAGGATATAACAGAAAAACAACTGAGCAACAACAACATTAAACTTAGATAGATACAGGAGTGACCAAACAGTATGTAAAAATTCTTCTGGATACATATTGACTTAGAAAATCCCATAATAATATTGTTTATGTTTTATTGCATTTTTACTTATTTTGTTAAATATTTCCCAACTACATTTAATCTGGTTTAGGCCACACTGGGGAATATTGTGGGCCGTGTATTTGATACCTGTTTTGGACCTTGGGAGTAGAATTAATCTGTGTTACTTGGAATCAATTAGAACTAATTGGTGTTACCTGGAATAGATTTGTCAGAAATAAATGAATGATTACGTGCATAAAATTTCTTCTTATTTTTGTTAATGCTAATAAATACGAACTTGGCATCTAGACTTTTAAAAATTCCTCTTCTGAAGACGTCTGTCTGCATTCACATATACAACTTTTCCTATGAGGGGCAGTTTGATTAGAGAAAGAATGCTACACTTAAGAGTCAGGAAAGACCTGAGTTTGAATCCTATCTTTGGAACTCATTTCATGTCTTAGTCTCAGTTTCTTTATCTATGATATAGGGAAAAAAGATTTTATGGCGCTTACTTCATAGGGTTTTTGTATTAAATTTCATAATGGCATAAAGTTCCATGTAAAGGTCAGCTATTGTGATTCATAATTCTTGTTAATCCAAATCAAGTTTTGTTTTTAAATAATGTATTAATAATATGATAAAAAAATTATTAAGCACCTACTGTGTGCTGGGAACTGTATGACGTATATGAAGACAAAAGTCACCTAGTCTCTGCCCTTAAGGAGGTTATAATCTGCCATGGGTAGACAGCATGGCCAATACAAAATATATAAAAAGATCATTTTTGTGGGGAGGAGGGGAAACTCTAGCTACTGAGGAGGATCAGAAAAAAATGCTTTCTGTAGAAGGTGGTATTTGAACAGAATGCTTGAATGAAATTTGAATATTTGAATGAAATTTGAAACAGAACATTTGAATTCTGAGAGGCCAAGGTGAGAAGGGAGTGCATTCTAGGCATGGGGCATGATATGCACAGGTCCTGGGATAGGAAATGGAGTGTCATGTTTAAGGAGTAATAAGAAACCAGATTGTTCGTGGAGGTGAGTATTACACAGACACAGACACACACACACACACACACACACACACACACACATTTTAATTTTAGAAAGAAAGGGAGCTGCTAGAGCATATTGAACATGGGAGTGAGTCTCATGGTCAACCTTGCACTTCAGGAATGCACATTGACAGCTGTGCGGAGTTTAGATTGGAGTGAGGGCAAGACAGGACGGCAGTCAATTGGAAAGATATTGCTAGAGTCTAGGCAAAAGGTTTGATGAAGGTCTGATTGGAGTGGAGAGAAGAGAATACTTTGGCGGTAGAAAGGATAAGATCTGGCAACGTATTGAGTATTCAGGATGAGTGAGATTGAAGATGACACCAAAGTTGAAAACCTGGACACCAGTCCTTGGTGAAAGAAGGGAAGTTTGTAAGAGGGATGGGCAACTATTAATTATTCTTTGATTTTTTGTTGTTTTTTGGTGAGGCAATTGGGGTTAAGTGACTTGCCCAGGGTCACACAGCTAGTATCAAATATCTGAGGTTGGATTTGAACTCAAATCCTCCTGACTCCAAGGCCAGAGCTCTATCCACTTTGCCACCTAGCTGCCCCAACTATTAATTATTCTAAACCGCCCAAACTTCAATAGAGTTTGACCACAGCAAATATATCCAATATATTAGTGAATCACAGAGGATTTACAGTAAATGGCCTGATTGAACAAGACCATAGCAGAGTCATGGTTCAAAAACTTAGGTCAATTAATGTTTATAATGTCATAGTGGTGGGTAAGCTGGACTGGAAGGCCTGGGTTCAAATTTCACATTTTCTACTTACCAGCTATGTAACCGCTAGTTATCCACTTAATGACTAAGTTCAGGCAGCTCACTAAGATGTATTGAGATTGTCATCTGCCTGGGAATCCTCCTTCTAACAAAAGCAGAGTCACAGGGGCGGGTAGGTGGTGCAGTGGATAGAGCACTGGCCCTGGATTCAGGAGGACTTGAGTTCAAATCCAGTCTCAGACACATAACACTTACTAGCTGTGTGACCCTGGGCAAGTCACTTAACCCCATTGCCTGGCTCAAAAAAAAAAAAAAAAGCAGAGTCACTTTTAAGGAGGCAGCATGGTATGGTGGATAAAGTTGTGAATTTAGCATTAGGGTTCAATCTCACCCCTGCTACTTATTACTTGTGTTAATTTGAGCAAATCATTTAACTTCTTGGGGTCCCAGCTCCTCATCTGAAAAATGAGAGGATTGGGTTAGATGGCCGTCAAGGTCCTTTCTGGCTCTAAATCTAGGATCCTATTCTCTATTAAATCATTTGTTGTTGTTCGGTCGTGTCTGACTCTTTGTAACCCCAAGGACCACAGCACACCAGGCCCTTCTATCTTCTGCTGTCTCCTGAAGCCCTGTGCAAGCTCTATTAAATCATATTGTCTCTGATTAGACCTATTGTGCTTCTCACCAAAGACTATTATTATCTTCTTCATAACAATTCCATCAAGTTAGACAAACTCAATGTAATAAGAGTGAGTTTTAATATGAGAGCAATGAAAATCCAACTTTTATTACCCCATCCATTTTCATAAAATATACCATATGTAGCAGTTGCTGGGTTACCACACAAAACAGCCACAAGACTGTATCCTGGAAGAAGAGTTAGCAATTGAGAAAAGGAAATGACTAGTGGGGTTTAGAAAACCATCAAAATGCCTGCCTATGACTGAGAATTCTAAGTAATCTATGTAACTGAGGCAACTGTTATCACTAAGGAAATTGTTTCATTGACTCATGCTACCCACACAGTATGATTTTCATTTCAAAATCAGTGTCCTTGGAAGCTTTGTCAGCATGTTCTTGTAGTCCTTTGCTTTAAACTTTTTGAACTGGACAGAGGCAGGACAGATCCATTTTACCAGGACTCTTTTCAGGGTCACCACTTCTTGGAGGTGTTTTCATTTATCTTCTGGCCCAGATACTGAGATTAAGTGGCCAGTAGAACAAGTACTTCTTGGTGAAAGAAGGTTGGTGGTAAGTCAAGTGAAAGGTCAATAGTTCCTATAGACTATTAAAGATAGAAAAAGCAATTACATTCGTAAAAAGTATGGGATGTTGTGGCTTTAATTGTTTTCTCCCTGTGGTTTTCTTCCTTCAGTTTTCTAATATAATAACAGCACTTAACATTCTAGGTAGGTTGTTTAAGATTGTTACTATATATCACTGAAGTATTAATTTAATAAGTTTCCTAATTTCCCCCCTAGCAAATAAGAATTAGGATCAATATATCCATTTGCAGAAAGATTTGTTTTTCAGGCCTTGGTCATAAAAAAAAAAATTAAAGAACTCTAAAGAATGTTTCTTTGCCAATTTTTTTTTTTAAACTTCTTTTCAGGCTCCACGTTGGCTCGAGGCTCCAAAGGACTTTGTTCACTGTCTGTAAGAGCTTTTCATTTGTGTAAGAAAAAATATAAAGGGCAAAAAAGGGGATCCCAGTCACATGGTAAGTGCTTAAGCAAAATGAGTGGGGATAGATAAAACAGAAAACTATACTGGAGAACTTAATTTCAATATTGACTCTTTCTTTCAATAAGAGGGCAAAAAAACACAAAAAAAAGGAACCTAATTTCCTTGGTAGTAACTGGTATCAATATTGATTTTCTCTGGGTAATTCTCTAGTCTTTATTATAGAAATCATGGCATGATGGAGGGCCGAGGAGTGGGGGGAAAGGGCAGATAATATGCCACCCAGGGGACAGTTGAATTGGACATCCTTCTGCACAGAGCCCTAGTTGCATGGGTCATGGAGTTTTCATAGTGCTAATCTTCATGCCACAAACTTTGCTGCTTGATCAACATTTCTTTAATTTAAAAAAAAATCCTCTTCTGTTTTAAATTTTGTGGCTGGCAAGACTTGAAACAGACAGTGAGTCATGACATTCATTACTCTCCGTACCGCTCCCCCCCCTCCAAAATCCTTCAAGATGAGGCAGAGGCAGGGATTCTAAAGAGGCTTGGCAGCAGCATGTGGTTCATTTGGGGGGCCTCTTAAGGGAGCCTGCGGATGAAGAGGTTTTGGATTTTGAGTATTTATAGCAGGGTGAGGGATGGAAAAAGGGGAATAGCTAAAGACCTGAGGGTCCTATTGTTCTGTAACTTGGAATAAATTTAAGAATAAAAAGCACTGATGAAAGAACAAGGAAAAATTGTTAAGAGTTCCTGAACACACACACACACACACACACACTCTCTCTCTCTCTCTCTCTCTCTCTCCTTTTAATGATTTACAAGTACCAGGTCTGTCCTTTAGAAGTCAATCACAGAAACAATCACAAAATCCCAAAGTTGGAAGGAATGTGGAAGGACATCGAGGCCAAACCATACCTGACCAAGAATCTCCTCTTTAACAAGCCCAAGAAGTAGTCATCCAGCATTTGTTTGAATCTTTCCAGTCATCTATTATCTTCCTAGGAAATACAATGTAGTTTTTGAGAACTCTGATTGTTAGGAAATGTTTCCTGACATCAAGCCTAAAAATTTGCCTCTTTGCAACTTCCACCCATGGTTCCTAGTTCTGCCCTCTGGGACCATGTAGAAAGTGTCTAATCCTTCTTGTGTATTACAGACATTTCATGAAATTACACAGAACTCTCATCTCTCCCCCTTCCCCCTGCCCCAAGTCTTCTCTCCTCCAGTATAAGCATGCCATACTGGGTGCCTGCAGATGATCCTCTCATTGCATGATTTCCAGGCTCTTCGATAGCCTCTTAGGCCTTCTCTGTTTCTTTCCTGAATATCGCTGTCTTTACTAAAGTGAATCACCTGGGAATGAACCCAGTGTTCCAGATTTGGACTGATTATAAAAGGGTTGTCACTTTTCTAGTCCTGGATCCTTTGTCACTCTTAATGCAGCTTGATATCATGCTTTTTTGGGGGGGGGGAATGTTGTCACATCCCACAATGTTGACTCATCTTGACCTCTACACCATTTTAAAAAAAGATCTTTTGTCAGATGAACTGTTTTCTTGGCATATCTCCTCCATTTTGTACTTTTAAAGTTGATTTTTTTAACCTATATGGAAAACCTTGCACAGTTAAACCCTAATTTTATTTTATTAGATTTGGTCCGATGTTCTCGCCCAAGATTTTTGATGGTCTGACTTTTTTATCCAACTTAATTGTTACGTATGAACATCTAGTAAAGAAAACAATGGTCACTAAGAACTAGCGTGACTTGTCAAAAACTGGTCATGCTACTGACCATAGGGCCAGGCACGGAGTAGGGACTTGATAAATGTCTTTCTATTAAAAAACAAAAAGAAGAACAGGTCATGCTATACTAACCCCATTTCCTTTTGTGATAAGGTTGCTAGGTGGCGATATGCAGGAGATAAAGTTTGCCTAGATTATAACAAAGCATTTGACATAATCTTTCATGATTTTTTTTTTTTTGTGAAAGAGAGACAGAGAGATATGAGCTTAGTAGGTTGATTAAGCTGATTGAATGGCAAGACCCAAAGAATTATCATTGATGATTTAATATCATCTAGGAAGTGAATCTACGTTTGAGTGTGCTAAAGATCCATCCTTATGCCTCTGCTGTTTAATATTTAATCAATGACTTGGATAAAGGAATGCTTGTGAAATTTGCATATGACACAAAACTATGAGGGAGAGCTAACACACTGAGTAAGAGACAGGATTCAGAATAAAATCTGCATGGGCTAAAACATTGCACCAAGTTGAGTAAGATGAAATTTAATTGGGATAAATCTAAATTCTTATACTTGGGTTAAAAAAAAATTCAATGTCACAACTACAAGACAGGGAGGTATGGACAGATAACTGTTCGTCTGAAATAGATCTAGGCTGTGAGTGAATTGGAAGCCCAACAGGAGTCAATAATATGATATCACAACTAAAAAAGTTAATGTGATCTTGGACTGTCTCAAGATAAGCATGATGTTCAAGATTAGAAAGGTGAATATTCCTCTGCTCATGTAAGATGACATCCAGAGTATTGTGTTCATTGTGGATGCTACATTTCAGCAATGACTGATTAGAAAGTGGCAACCAGCATGGTGAAGAGCCTCAAATTTGCGGTATATGAAAATCAATTGAAGCAACTTTGGATGCTTATTTTGGAAAAAAAGAAGGAATTGGTGGGGAAAGGTACTATCTTCAAGTATTTGAAAGGCTATCCCATGGAAGGAGGATCAGTTGTTTTACTAGGCATAACCAGGAGCAATGGATTGAAGTTGTAAAAAGAAAAGCTAAAGTCTGACGGTGAGGATAAAATTATCTCTTCCCTCCCCCCCAAAAATAAGTGGTAGGCTCCATTCTCTTCCCTCTTTTTGAAATGAGGATGGTATTTGTCCTTCCCCAATTCTGTTGTACCTCATCTGTTTTCTAGTTTTTTAAAGCTTATGGACCACACCTCAGCAAGCACATCCCAGTCATGTTGAATATAGAAATGATTTGTATTTATATCCTTAGGGCTTAGCACATGGTAAGTATTTAATCAACGTGCTTTATTGATGCATTGACTAATTAATAGGAGACCAAATTCTTGGAAAATGTATTAGAAAAAAACCCCAGGATAATCATCCTAGTAGTATGGAATAAAATTTTCTACTTTATATTCTCAGCAATGGAAAAATACTTTTAGATCTCTACGCTAGCATTAGCTCTTCCATTGACTGGGCCGGTTCCCCAGGTTCTCATGGAATTTTATTGTAAAACCAATAAGTGTCATTTGTATTAGTTATCTCATCGTAATGATATGAGGAACATGCAGTAAAGTTGGTAAAGCATCTTGATCCACATACAACTAACAAAAAAGACTGAGGATCATTTTTATCAAGAAAAAATAAAAAAACTTTTGAGTATATAATTTATTTTATTTTATTTTTTTGAATTAACAAACTTTTTTTCCCTTCCTAGGCCTCCCACTGGGGGAAAAAACCCAACAAACAACCTTGTAACAAAAATTCATAGCCAAGCAAAAGAAATGTCCACATTGTCTATGTCCAAAACTACGTGTCCCATCCTGCATCTTTAGCCTATTGTCTCTCTATCATGATGTGAGTAGCATGCTTCATCAGTCCTCTGGAATCATGGTAGGTCATTGCATTGATCAGAGTTATAAAATCTTTCAAAGTTGTTTGTCTTTACAATGTTGTTATAGAAATTGTTCTCCTGGTTCTGCTCACTTCACTCTGCATCTTTTCATACAAATCTTGTCTTAACCTCAGTTTCCTTATCTGTGAAATGGGGATAATAACAGCACCTACCTCATATCCCTTAGGCACTTACGAGTTGTATGACCCTGGGCAAGTCACTTAACCTTGTTTGCCTCAGTTTCCTCCTCTGTAAAATGAACTGGAGGAAGAAATGGCAAACCACTCCAGTATCCTTGCCAAGAAAACCCCAAATGGGAGCACAAAAAGATAGACATGACTGACAATGACCAAACAACAAACATAGGATTGTTGTATGGATCAACTTAGATAAGAACTTTGTAAGCCTTAAAACATTGTGTAAATACTAATAACTACTGATATCGTTATCATCCTCATCATTATTCCAAAGTTTCTCTGGAAACTTCCCTTTTGTAATCTCTTTCAGCACAATAGAGATCTATTATAATCATATACTATAATTTCAACAAATATTTATCAAGCATCCATTATATTTCAGGTACCGTACTAGGTGCTGGAGATACAAAGATGAATCAAGCATGTACCTACATAGGGACAGGGACTGCACCTGTGATCTCATTAATAATAATATTAATAATAGTTAGGAATTATATATTGGCAACTATGTGCCAAGCAGTGTGCTAAGTGTTTTACAAATAAGATTTCAGTTGATCTTTGCATTTGACTTTTATCCCTATTTTATAATTGATGAAACTAGGCAAACCGTAACTTGCTCGAAGTAGTTGGAAACTCTCTCCACCAATACAACTAGCACCTTCCCTGAAGCTTATAGTCCAAGAGAGCTGTCTCAAGCACTGTTAAGGTTAAATGACTTACTCTGCTCAAAGTCATACATCCAGGAGGCTGACAAGACCAGATCTCTCCTCTCTTTGTTTTTGCCAACTCCACCCAGCTCCTCACGCAGATGGGCATTGATCTGTACCAAAGAGGAGAGAGACTCCCACACAGCTGGCCCTTCAAGCCAGGTTCCATTCAAAATATTGACAAGGTAATGGGGCGGGGGGGGGGCGCTGAAATGGAGGATCTGCAAGGGATTCATGTGGAAGATTATCTTTGAGCTGAGCCTTGAAAGAAGCTAGGCATTCTAAGAGGCAAAGCTAAGGAGAGAGTGCATTAAAGGCATGCAGGAAAGCCTGTACAAAGAAAAGGAGACAAGAGATGGAGTGTCATATTTGAAGAACAATAAGGTGTTTGACTGGATTGTATAGTGTGAAATGGAGTCATCTGTAACCCGGCTGGGGGTGAGGGAGTAGGGGCCAGGCTTTGAAGAGCATTGAATGCCAAACAAACCTATAGGTGATATGGAGCCCCTGGATTTTATCGAATGGGGGAATAAGGGGAATAAGGTGGTCATTTCCATGCTTTAGGTAAATCCCTTTGGCCACTGTATGGAGAGTGGTTTGGAGTGGGCAGAGACTTGAGCCTGGGAGATCAATTACAAGGCTATAGCTTTAGTACTGGAGAGAGGTAATAATGACCTGAGTTAAGGTGATGGCTTTGTGAGTGGAGAGAAGTGGACTAGAGAGAGAAGCTATCAGATCTGGCAACTGATGTGTGAAGTAAGGAAGAATGAGTTGAACTTAGCAGAAGTTTAGAACCTGTGACTGGAAGGATATTACCCTCAATAGTAACAAAGAAGAGGGATAAGTTTGGGAGGAAAAATAATGAGTTCCATTTTATACATGTTGATTTTGATAGAGGTTAAGTGACTTGTATAGAGTCACCTATCTAATTAAGCATCTGATTTAGGATTTGAATTCAGTTCTTACTGATTCCAACTCCAGCACACATATGTCCACTGCTCCACCTAGTCACCAACAAAATATATACTCATTGCATTAAGAGTTTGAAGTTTTCTGCCCTTTATAAGGCTGTTTCAATTTCATTATGAAATAGGAAGATTTCTTTCTCTTTTTTTGTTTTTTCAATGAGGTAGAAACTTCCTTAAGGAAACTCCCTCTACTCAGGCAGATAGACACAGTTTTTGAATCTGAAGTCTTAAAGAGTTGCTTGGGGGAAGTGAGAGGTTAAGTGACCTGACCTCAGGCCCTCCTGACTCATCAGCAGGCTTTTTTTCCAGTATATGCCAAACTGCCTTTCTCCTACTTTACTAAAATCAGAAAACTAGATTTTCCCTTTGGATTTTTTACAGATAAGTAAACTGAGGACCAGAGACATTAAGTAATTTGCCCAAATTCACAGAGTTAGTAAATAACTAAGAGCTAAGTAAGCTAATATTTGGTAAACTAAGACTTAGTAAGTGATCTTCTGACTAAATCCAAGCTGCTTTCCACTGTACAGCATTGCCTCATAGGCTCAGAAGATCTCACATTATGCTGTGATTTAGGGACACAGAGATTCTTTCTGCTTGAAGGACTTGGGATGGCCAAATCACTGTTGCTACCTGCTCTTTGGCTTCTCATTTGGAATACCTCCTCTGATGGGGATCACATCTTCAAATTGGTCTTTGGGGTCATGGGAACCTAAAGGCAGGTAAGTAATACATAGAGTTATTTCATCTGGTGCATGGAATTATCACCTTTTTTTACTTATTAACTGCTTGAACTCAAACTTGTCATTCTAACATGTGTTGACCTTAGTCCCCTCCCTCACCTTTTACTGGAAAATCTAAATCGTTACTTTGTTTTTGTCCATTGTTATATCCATTGTGATTGTTGGGATGCTACCAGGTGTGCCTTTCAGGAGTTTTGGCCACTTAAAGCATGTATTTATTTCTTAACTAGTTTTCATCTGTAATCTTCAAATATACCACAATATAGGACTTATCTCTATCTGGAAAATGCCATGATCAAATTCCAATCTCTAGTTTTTAATTCTCAAACTACAGAGTGCACTGTGGGAACACAATGCTTATGCTATTTTTTGATCCTATACTCTTCTGAGGTTTACTGGAAAGGATTATGTGTGTATACACACACACACACACACACACACACACACGTGTATGTGTATGTATATGTATATATAGCTAAAAAGATATGACATGAAGATACAAACATTTTTTCCAAACCACAGTGATTTTTAACTCTTAAGCATGAAATAGTTTTTTAAAATATCCAAAGGATCACTTTCAACTCCTCCTTTTTGTTTACCATTCTAAACAGACTGGGGTTTTTTAGAGTGCTGTATTTTAATACTTTACTTCTATGATCTGGGGTATAAAGCTGTTTAGTTGGTCAGATAATGATTTATAAAATTACAAAGGTGGGAGGGAATTCAGGAATCACCCAGGCCAGGGGTTCTTAACTTTTTTAGTGTTATGGTCCCTGTGGGTAGTCTGGTGTAACCTTGTGGGTTCCCTTCTGAAAATAATGCTTTAGGTACATAGAATAATATTCATAGAATTATAAAAGAAACCACTTATATTGAAATAAAGTTACTCCCAGAAATCCATTCACATGCCTTTGGTTGTCAAAGCGCCTTAGGTTAAAAAACCTTGATCTAGTTCAACTCCATAATTTTGCAGATAAAAAAATCAGAGTCAAAGAAGAATCTGCCTCCTAACTTACCTTAGTTAGTTAGAGGGCAGATTTAGGACTGGTAAGAACCCAGCTCTCAGTAACCCCTTTCACCACCTCATGCTAGATATTGACAAGCAAGTGAAATGAAAAGAGCACTAGCAGCACATTTTAAGGTCTGCAAGTTAAATGTCACTCTATGATTCTTTCATCATGGCCTTGGTTAGTTCTTTTTGCCAGATTAAGATCATAAATTGCATTACAAAATCATGAAACTTCCCTGATAAGATTTTATTTGCTATGTTACCTTGGGCAAATCAAAAGTTTCTCCTTTGGGGAATGGAGAGCAGAGAGATGTTAAAAGGATGGTAGAAGTTATTAATATCTCTTCCCACTAAGTTTAAGAATTTTAAAAAATCTTTAAAGTGCTTGGAACTTTATATAAATATAATTATGATGTACTGGCATCATTCCGTTATTCAAATATAGTTTATTTTCTGTCTGAAGTTATTCAGTAATTCCTGAGGTTGACTCCTCCTTCTATTCCTCTATTTCTGGATGCAATTGAATTCCATCATGGTCTACATTCAATGGTTTTCTACGGGCTTTTGCTTTAATTCAGTTACAGTGACCTTAAATGGAAACCAAATCCAGAAACCATTCATTGTTAGTTCTAGAACATATGGGGTGAGTACATAAGAATATGTTCCAAGTATGAGTAGGAATTGGGAGATCCTAGGTGTGTGCCTAGGAGGCAGCAAGGTGGTTCAGTGGATGGTGTGCTGGGCCTCGATTCAGAATACCTGAGTTCATATATGGCCTCAGATACTCATTACTATCTGGGTGACCCTGGGCAAGTCATTTAACCTTTGTTGGCCTTAATCTACTGGAGAAGGAAATGGCAAACCACTCCTGTGTCTGCCAAGCAAACCCCATATGGTCAGGACTGAACAACAAAAACAAGGTGAATATGAAGAGAGAAACAGATCAAGTATGGCTATTTCTTCTTCTAGTCAAATGTTTCTGTTTTTTAATGTAAATTTAAATATCCTTTACTAACATTCATCTTCCTTTGGAGAGCATGGCATATAGATAATGGGCTAGTTTTTCAGTAAAGGAGATCTATATTCAAATCTTGTCTTTGACAAAGGACAGCTGTAAACCCATGGCCAAGTCACTTTGCCCTTTGGTGCCTAGGCAATTCTCTAAGACTCTCTCTTACATCGTAGATCTGCATTGGTGGAAGCCATTTCCCTACTGGGAGTTCCAAAGAAATCAGAGATCCAGACTAATTTTTTTTTTTACTTTGTGGGATAAATAGGTAT